GCATATTGGTGAGAGACCATGGCAGGGAGTGGCATGTTTCGTGTCCCAGACTCTGCAGCACGTGGACATGAATGACATGGTGAGGTGGGGAGGTGTGTCTGTGGTCACAGAACCCCAGCTCCCACCGTGCTGCCTGCCACTCATCCAGTAATCCAGTCAGACACATGACTCTCTTGTTGAATGAATAACTGCCTCTTTGCTCCTTTTTTTTTCTTTTTTTTTTTTTGGTTTGCACAATGTATGTCCCAAGTCAGAAAATAGGAACTATGGCTCAAACAGCAGTTTAGTGACTTCCTGAATGGATGACTCCACAAACATGACATTTATGGCTCTTGGGATTACAATGGTAGCCTGCTGCCTCCACAGCTGCCCTGGGGACTTCCTATGTTGTGAAGTTCTGTCAATAGCTCCCGCAGATTCTGGCTGAAGGCCTGGAGCTTTTATGTGCTCGTGGATTCCTTGATGGGGAGGACCGTGGGGATGAAGGATGTGGTGAAGAGTCTGGCCTGTCACAGTGGCACCCCATGTGTACACACCAGGGTGGACTCAGCTCCTAGGGCAGCGTGGCCATCCTAGAGCTCCAGCTCAGACCAGATGGCTGGGAGCAAAGGGTGTGTGGGGGCAGGGGCTATGTGCTTTCGTTAGTGTGCGGAGGGCTCTGGTGGTCTATTCCCATTGTTTGGGTCTTCCCAGGCATTCTTCTGCAGGTAGCTGAGAGATTAGGGTGGGAAGCTAACAGAGTGAGGAAGGAAAGAGGAGGAGGGGAAGGCTTTCAAATGCCATGCCTACACCTGAGAGAAGGTGGGACTTGACGCTAGTAGCAATGCACATTGTCCTAAGACAGAGGTGACTCACGTCCATGGAGAATTTTCATTCTGCCACAGTGTGCAGAGCTTCCACAACTGCCTGGAAACAAAACCTGAGGCTACAGGTGACAGATTACATGAGTTTCATGTCTCAGACCCACCTCCCCCTTGCTCAGACGTTGTGTGTATGAGGGTAGACTCTTGCAGAACAGACTTCTGCAGTCCAGAGGCCGTGACAGGGCAGGGAGCTCTGTTCCTTGTGTCTGAAGACTCTACCTGTCTTCTTCTAGGAGGGATAGGCACGCAGAGTGATTAGCAAGTGACAGAAGACACATTCTTTAAGAAAACATGAACAAAAAGGAAAATCTGCCTGAAAAGGAAACAGAGAAGGAAGAAGCCAACAGCTGCCTTAGACCCTTGGCTGTTCCAAGCAATGCAGGCGCTCCTAGGTGACATGCCCCTTCTGAGGACAGCCAGCTGTAAGTGTAATCCACTTTTGACTTTAAAAACTCTATGCCCTGGATGTTCATTAAAAGTAAGGGACATTTTATGAGTGAACTGTAAGTGGGTTAGTTTCGGGTTATTCAATCAAGTTCAAGATCTCCTTAAACTTTGGCTCACTACCACTGGGGAAACAGGACGGATGCCTGCTATGGATTGGGAGTCAGGGCTGGTTTGCAAGAGTTCTCGGGAGCCTTTGACTCTGTTTCCCACAACATGTGAATATTGTGTGGAGGAAGGAAGATGGAGCAAGGTTGGGGCAACCTGGGTTCACTGGGGCCCAGGAGTCCCAGTGGATGACATCCTACAGGCTACATGTTATGTTCACACACCAGGCAAAAGAAGAGAGTGAAAGACCCATGCCAGAAACAGCTGAGCTCATGAGGTTCTGTAGGAAGCCAGGAAGCCACGAGACAGTCACCAAGTCGTAAGAATGCTGCCTCCTATTTCCTCTGTTTGAAGATCCCCTAGATTCCCTCATGAGAAGGATGGCCTGATGCTAAGGGTGGAAAAACCACACAGAAGTCACAGAGAGGAAACTCAGTCCCATGCTGACCACACACACTGGGTTGTGAGCTCACATGCACCTTTAGTTATTTCTCAAGGCAGTGATAAAGAGCTAGGGATGTAGGTAAGTGGGCAGGGTATTTGATTGGCATTCATGAAGACCTGGGTTCAGTCCCCAGTCCTGAAGAGACTAGGTATAATGGTACACACTAGGAGCTCTTAGGGGGCAAGGCAGGGGAACCATATGCTCAAGGACAGCCTGGATACACAGTGAATTCAAAATTCAAAGCCAGCCTGTGACCTTGGAAAGCCAGAGGGAGGGATGGAGAGAGGAAGAGAGAGAGAGAAAGAGACAGAGACAGAGAAACAGAGAGAGAGAGACAGAGAGACAGACAGAGAGAGTTTCAATTACCAAGACCAGACTTAGAGAATTCATCCTGGAAAAGATAGTCCCTTAGACTCGGATCTTATAACTGACCTGAAGGTGGAGTTGAAGTAGGATCATACTTCTCCATACATGATTATCGCCCTGCCTGACGTGAGGCCTTAGCTGAAGTTCCACATATCCATCCATGGGCAAGCCCTGCAGGCGGAGCAGGAGTCTGGGAAAGAATGGAGCTGGCTCTTTGGCAACACAAAGGTAGGGAGGGCAGTGTCAGAGGGGTTTGTGTCTACAGGGGACATTTAGGACAGACGAAAGACCCACTCCCAAAGGGATTTGAGCACACTGTGGAAACAGCCACCCAGGTAGGGCCCTGGTCTGTGAGGCCTCCGCATCTTCTGAGCTCTGATGGTAGTTGATAAGGACACACGCAAACTTTAAGAATGTCCTACATAAACTCCAAGCCCAGTGTTGGGGTGGAATGTGGCATAAAGAGGTGTGGGGTGTCTGTGCAAATGACTGACAGACTGCTGGAGGACCTTCTGCCTACTGCGTGGGCTTATATATGTCCCTGGGGGAAACATAGGAGTGCAGAACATGGGGCAATCTGTGGCCCTGGTACTTCCCCAAGGAGCTTGAGGACAACAGCTCTAGGCAGCAAGAGGGCAACAGCTTTCTGGGGGTCAGCGTGTCTTCTGGGTGCTCAACATGGCACAGTGCTGCCTGCTACCCTAGGGCATTTGTGCCAGAAACTATTGCTCAAGGATGCGACGCAGCCAGATGTCAGGAAAGTGCTGTGCTGTGCATCTACACAAGGGGAAGCTGTCTTCCTCCTCCAGCCTCACTGCGATGGGGCTTCTGTCCCACAGAACATCACATTCCCGTCACCAGGGTTTTCTGATCTCGCCTATGGATTTATTTCTTTAAGAAGTGGTTAAGATCATCTAAAAATAATTTTCATTTTACTACTTTTATGCCTATGAATGTTTTGCCAGCATGTATGTCTGTGCACCACACGCAGGTCTAGTTCATGCAGAGGCCAGAAGAAGGTGGTGAATCCCCTGGGACGGGAGTTACAGACAGTTGTGAGCCCCCACCTGGGTGTTGGGAATTGAACCCAGGTGTTTTGAAAGAGTAGTCAGTGATCTAAGTCATTGAGCCATCTCTTCAGCCCCTAAGAAAAAAATTTTAACATCAGAAAAGGAAAATTCTTTAGCTAGATGCAAATGCAGAGAAAACACCTGCGTTTCTAGGAAGCCAGCCTGGTGCTGATCGATGTACCTGACCATGATGTGACATCATTGGTTCAGGAAGGAATAGGGGTGGTTCTTTAGAACCCCAGGAGCCTCTGTGTGGGGACCTTGAATGACACCAAACACAGGCATTGCCTCAGCATCACCTTGGCAGGCACATCTTTAGAAGAAAAGGCATACCCACACAAAGACGGCTCCTTGCCTCTCTGGACCACAGACCCTGCCCAGCTGGACTGCGGCCCCAGGACCTTCTGAATTTTGACTCATACAGACCCACTGCAGATGCCTAGGCCAGGAATCCAGGATCCAAGTCTTCATGCTACTGAGCTGGCCAGGCTGAAGCCCACAGACCCATTTCTGCTCAGACAACCACACCCAGATTTGGTATGAGCTGCTCCCAAGGGTTTGCTCCTGGATGTCTGCATTAGCATGCAGTTCCAAGCACAAACAGAAGTCCAGGATCCGGGAGAGATCGACGTGAGCAGACTGTGCTGCCTGACTTTGTTCCATTACCACATGGTGTGCACCCTGCCTGCCATTGGAAGCAGAATTTGGGTTGAGCAACCCTACTCTGACAGCACTAAAAAGATCATGGGAAAAATTACCTTGATGCTAGGGGCCTAGGACGATGGCTCAGTGGGTAAGGTGCTTATCACACAAGCATGAGGTCCTCAGCTGATCCCAAAACCCATGTAAAAATCTGTAATTTCAATCTTGGAGAGGAACAGACAGGAAGAGTCCTGGGGGCTGCTGGCTAGCCAGCATCGACAAAGCAGCAAGCTCCAGGTTCAGCAAGGGACTGTTTCTCAAAATACGAGTTGGGAAGGGAGGGCCAGAAAATGAATCCATTGGGTAAAGATGGTTGCCCCCAAGCCTGATGTCCTGGGTTCAATACCTGGAACCCATGTAAAGGTGTAAAGAAAGAACCGGTTCCGTGGAAGTTGTCCTTTGACCTCCACACATGCACCACGACACATGTATTCCCCCCACTGACATGCACACACACACCTTCATCATCATCATCATCATCATCATGAGCTATTGAGATAAATAAGGTGGAAAGAAACTGATAAGATACCAATGCCCACCTCTGACCTCCACATGTGTGTATACACACCTGCATACACACTTACGTGTATGAGCAGGAAAACCTACACACACAAGACATTTCATAAGCATGAAGTGTTTCTAAAGGTCAATGACTTTCTAGTGCAGGCTTGGGTAAGATCTCAAGACATCTCTTTACATAATGTGCAAATATATCCTGCATCCAAAGCATCCCCAATCCAAAGCACTTCTGGTTCCACCATGTTGGATACCAAACTCAACCCTCATGTGGTTGAACACCGTTTTCTTTAAGCACAATGTCATGCTTTGTGGTCAGATTAGATAAAAACACATGCTGGGTCACAAACGACAACAACTCCCATACTGGTAGATGGGAATGTGTGGCACCTTCCTGAGACCACCTGGGTTCTACTCATGGGGAAGCTGTTACCGCTAGGTGAGCGGCCCTGGCGGTAGGAGGCAGGGAGACGGCAGGATACTCACAGGAATTTTCCGTTAGTCTTTGATCCTATGAGGACTATCTGCTCCGACTCATCTCTGGAGATGTTGCCATGGAACCAGGGCATCTTCTCATGGGCAGTGGTGGCGATCAGCTTCTCCAGCTGGGGTTTCTGGCTGATGATGGCTTGTTCCAGAGCCTGGCCCTGCAGTGAACGGAGGGATAGTGAGCTGACCGGATACAGAGAAGATAGACCTGTGTCCCAGGTTCTGCGCAGCAAATCAGGACCAAAGTCTACTCTATCCCTTGCTCGTCCTTGTCTCGTGCACTGCCTAAAATAAGGGAACCAGTAAGATCCTCATATATATTACTCGCATGTCTTCAAGTGTATAAATGAAGGATATAAATGAAGAGATGCGTCCTTAAAAGGCCAGAAAAAAATTGCGTATGTAGGTCATATACCCCTGGATTCAGAGACTGAATTCTCCAAAGACAGCTATACATTCCAACTACCTTCTGTGTGAAAACATAGTCATTTCCTAATAGGCAAGAAGCCTTGAGATGTGTGTGAGATTGGGCGTAGTGCGGTAGCTCAGCAGGTGAAGAAGCTTGTTGCTGAGACTGTCTGACTTCCATTTCTGGGACTCACCTGGTGGAAGAGAGTGACCCCTGCAAGTTGTCTGACTTCCACATGTGTGTCGTAGCAACTGTATCCTCCTCCCCCATACACACACACAGACACACACACACACACCAAAATAAATGGAACCAAAGAAAAATTTTTAAAGAAGATGCATGTGAGGAAGGCATCTGTGGCTTTCTGCCTGTCAGGGTTCAGCTTTTTTCTCACTCCCATCTTGCCCCCACCACACATCTGCAGGAAATGTCATCGGAGGAATCACAGGTGAGCAGCCTGGACCACTTGGAAACAAGGCAGAAATAAAAGGAGTCACCTTAAGAGCTGAGGGGACAGATTTCCTTGTCTTTCCCAGCGAGAAAAAAAAAATACCTTCTTGGTAATGATTAGTCAGAATTTGGTTACTGACAAGTTGAAAAGAAAACAAAAATGAATGAACAAACAAACAAAAGGATAAAATGAAAACACAGCCTTTCACACGTGGAGGAAGGAGGAGGACAGAGTGCAGAGGGAATGTGAAGATGTGGCTCTGACCACATGTATGGATGGAGTGGGGACAATGGCGGAGAGGGGTGTGGCCACATCTGGAACATAGCAGAAGCTGGAAAATCCACTCAAACACCCTTACTGCCCCAGTTTCTGGGTAAAGGGCGCAAAGGATTCTGGGTGATTCTGGGACAGGGCTCCTCGGTCTCAGGGAGCAGTGGCAACCAGCCAGACTCACCTGAAGGTTCCATGTCTGCTTCACATATTCCCGGATGAGGTTCTCCTTCAGGTCCTCAAAAGGTCCGGTCTTGGGTTGTACCCCGGGGGGCCGGTTGAAGGGCTTCTTCAGGAGGCAGATGAGGCCATCAGATTCCTGGGAGTGGTAGTGGCAGAGGTCTGCCGGGCTGGCATGGGTCCTGCCGCCGGAGATGGCATAGGTGCCATTAAGTTCCCTCTCGATGGTGTAGTGGTGTGCCTTCCTGTTGTGGGCCACTGACAAGGCGAAACCACCCAGGTAATTGCGGCTTTGGCGCAGCAGGTAGAGCCCATCCGTCATGCCTCCCTGGACCAGGTAGTCCTCGGCCTCTTCCCGGGTGATGTTGCCAAAAAAGTAGGGCAGGTGGTTAGCGCTGTCTGCCGCGTTGCCCGCCATATCTGCACCCCTTCAGAACTCCAGGAGGTATGGAGGGAAGTGCCTGGGGACAGCAGAGATGGGTCAGCCACAGTGAGGAACCCAACCCGTAAGGGGCACTGGCTAAGCCCACCAGAACCTACTCCATGGGGACATAAGCCTTTGTAGTTTAGAAAGAGCACATTGCCCTATTCGGCACGGGGGTTCTTTCTGTTACCTAATTTCCAGTTTCCCAGAATACGCTGTGACGAGTTAATCAAATCCATGACCTTTGACAAAGGTGACCCAATTCACCATGATTTTTTTCTAGTGGGAAAAAAAAAGAATTCTAAAAACATAGAGTGTGATGGTTTGAAAGAAAATGGCCCCCAAAGGGAGTGGCACTATTTGGAGGAGAAGCCTTGTGGGAGTAGGTGTGGTCTGGTTGGAGGAAGTGTGTCACTGTGGGGGAGGGCTTTGAGGTTTTTCTTCACGCTTCACTCAGTGTGACAGTCAGTCTACTTCCTGTTGCCTGCAGGATGTAGGACTCAGCTCCAGCGCCATGTCTGCCTGAACACTATCATGCTTCCCACCATAATAACAATGGACTGAACCTCTGAAACTGTAAGTGAGTCACTCTAATTAAATGTTTTCTTTATAAGAGTTGTCATGGTCATGGTGTCTCTACACAGCAATACAAATCCAAAATAAGACACACAGAAAGGTGAAGTGTATAGTCGTCTTTTGACACAATGCTCAAGGGCACACACACCCTGAGTGTGGACAGTGGTACATGGGACAGAATCAGCAAGGACTCAAAGCCCTAGATGGCCTCAGGAGGCACAGGCCAAGCTAAAACAAACAAGAACAACAACAACAACAACAACAAATCTTCAGAAAACTATAAACTATGCCTTCTTAAAAGGTGATATCTATCTATCTATCTATCTATCTATCTATCTATCTATCTATCTATCTATCTATCTATCTATCT